ATAAATTGATTTCGTTCAGATGCCACAACAGGTGGACTACAGAATAATAATATATTTTTTGGTGTATAATAAAGCATCAGGTGTATAATTATGATCGCTGGTTCTTTTTGAAAATGTTTGGTTTTTAACGGTGTTGTTGTTTGGTATTTTCAGTTTCTTGAAATTGTGGCTTATGATCAATACTCAATAGTTAAATTTTATATTTAACACCACATTTTGGGTTATGATGGTTTATTTCTAATATAGGTACCGTTCAAAGTTATAACAAAAACATTTATAGCAGCATACTATAATATTATATGGTACTGATCACAAATGCTAGTGTTCTAAAGATATTTTTTTCGATATTGTGAACCACAATATGACTAAACTATTTGTATTTTTTTTCACCACCTTTTATCTTTTCTATAGCTCATATGGTTTTATTTATATTTAATTGCAGTGAAAACAATGAACATGAACACGAACCATGTTTTTTATCACATAAGTGACTCTTTTGCGATTACACGACAATGTTCGAAATTATTAACTTGTCCTACTGGTATTTAAACAGAAAATATTATAATATTTGTATTCAACAGTAGTTTTCTAATAAAGTGAATTACAAATAAAATAATATTAATATTAAGAACTAAAGAAAACGATTGTATTATAAAAATATGTTGAGTACTGTTGTATATACTTTTTTATATTAATGCAACTTAACTGTAAAATAGTACATAATACTGTCATATATATTACTTATTTACCTGCTTGAAGATGATTTTAAGAATTTTAAAAAATCATCTAGAACGACACTGATAGTCAACAACTTCATCACTGATGTTGTACTCAAATTTGTGCCAAATACATAAAACTCAAACAAGCTTAATCTCTCATTGTATGCAATTAAAATGATTATGCTTTATGATAAAATGTGATAAAAGCAAGATAAATATTTTATTAAAAATATGTTTAAATCTGATGATTTATGACTAAGCAGCACAGTATGTTTGTGTAAACAGGGACTCAATATTATAATCTTATATTTCGTTATATTATATTTTCTAAGATGCAACAATTATATGTATCGTAAAAGATCGGGATAACCGTTGTTCATAAAATATAAATTATCAAAATTGTGCATAATTTGATGATATAAAAAAATCGTTTCCCACAGCGTGTTCTTCATAAAAAATGGCTAGGTAAAACATATGTACTTTTTGTGATGTATTAACATTCTATATGGGTTAAATGTATTAAGTACAATGAAAATGGACGTTTCCGCTCTATTCGAGAAATGCTTTTCAATAAGTTTTTAGTTGTTGTTGGGAAACGCACTAAATTGTACATAATATTATTACATTGACTTTCATTCGATTCGGAAACACAACACCTATATTTATACCATATTATATAAAAAAACAAAATCTGTGGAAAACGGTATAATATAACGTTAACGATACACTGCTATGAGTTATAAAACAATATTATTATTATTTATATGAATTTTTTACGGTTTTGACGAACATTAAGTATTTTATTTTATTTCAGTCGTTCTATAAATACACATTTTCAATGCTTTCAGTATTTATTTAAAAACTGTTGTTTGTTTATCTAGAAGAATTATTTTATGTATCATTATGAAATTGTATGTAATTTATTTTTGATTATTTATAATATGAAGTATTTTGCACGTAGCGATATTTAATACCCTGATCTAGGAGTCTCCCCGACACGAGTTTTTCCTCAACGAAGCCCATTAATTATTATTTGTAGTAAGAAAGCATAATTAAATAAATAAACAAATTAATATTTGATTCGTAAACACACTCGTGATATGATATTAAAATATTAGTATCTTACATAATTGTTATTTATATTATATCAGTGTAAGTTACCTTTATTAGATGACCAGCGTAACGGACACTTGGTGCTATATTATTTCCTATGTTTAGTACATCGTTCGCCAAACCAGATCGACGTTAATGTTATTACGTAGGTACCTTGAGTGAATTATGTTTTAGTCCAACCCACTCGTCACACTTGCTTTTCACTTCGTCCGTAAATAAGAAAAGCAGTTTGTATAGTGCAAAAATTGTTAGAATTTAGAAAAAATAATTGCATTTTAAGGTCTACGCATCATTATAATAATGTACGATTCCAGTCGTTATTTTCGACGTTATAATAATATTATTCGCGTTTGTAAGAATAATAGTAACAGTGGCGTACACAGCTATTTTCAATGGTGGGGGGGGGGCTTACATATAAAAATGATATACATATATATATTATACATTGATANATATTATTATTATTATTATTATTATTATTATTATTACATTATGGTGTATATATAGTTGTAGTATGTGGCACGGAGCACTAACTTCAAAAACGAGAACACAATAAAAGCAATCGGAAACGCAAACTTTATCCGAAAGTTCAGTTCATCCCTCTTCTCGGGGGTTGGAAGCAAGACTAATGCCACCCGTGACTATATATTTTATACATATTATTACTATTATTATTATTATAATTATTATACTCACTTCACTATCGACCACGATGCGAATGCGAATCATCGAACACTATATGCACTTGCCCATAAATTGTTGTCTATTATTATTTTAACACGTTAACGATCTAATAAAACGCAGTGTTTCCCAACCACTAATGAGCCCCGAAAACTTAAACTTTTTACCGGTCCTATAGCTCTTATTTTTGGTGAACGGTCAATGTCTATGCAATGTGTGAGACGATTTGTAATAACTAATAATAAATTGCCACGGCTGAAAAAAAATTTCGGAACCCCTGATTTAACAATATAAATTATATATAATAATAAACTCGTCGTGTGTGAATGATCAACATTTATAATAATGTTGAATTCCTCATATTTTTTTTTTTTCATACAACTTATATAAAATAATTATATACCTGCGTATAATGCAAACTCACATAATTTATTATAACTTTAATATATCTTCTTTTTTTTTTAAAAAAAACCTCCTCAGGCTATTAATAACACTACCATAGTTTAGGACGTTTAGATAGCTCCCAGTACAGCAATTTATGGGTACATGTTGATAATCAAGCCAGTGACTGCTTTCCAATAGTTAATTTACATCGAATACAGTTTTTATTGCCTACAGAAACTAGTGTATAATATCCTTAATTTAATTTTGTATTTATTTTTATTAGTACTATTAATTTTTTTTTTAAATTGTTATCATTTTTATCATACATTTTTACGTAATTACGTAAACTGAAAAAATACTAAAGGGGGGGGGGGGGTGAACCGTTAGACACCGTTATTATTATTATTATTATTATTATATGTATTTTGCGGCATTGCGTGATGACGTTTTTTCGTTTACCGAGTACAAAATAATCTTTTCCGGTCAGGGGGAATTATATAATACAGCGATATATTGTAATAATATATCGTATAACATTTCGTGGGTCGGGCTTACGCCTACTTTTTCGTGTTCCTGCCCGCTTTCGGAATAAGTATAATAATGACAATATATTTTTGTTGTGGTACGTAAGTCGTAAAATATCATATTAAGCGGTATTATATTCGTCATCACGGTTGTGAGTCCCTTAATAATTAATATTAGAAAAATACAATATTTACATCAGCAGATGTGTCATATAAAAACGAGAAAATCTGACATTTTCTAACTAGGTATGACCTATTTATCATTATTGATGAACTACTATCCGAAAAATAATACAAATAATAATAATAATATTATACTGTTACGTTAGCCCAGAGGCTCGCTCATTCGGCGAAACAAGACGGCGCCTTGTATAGGCAATTTAGCTACGTCCGTGCGTTGAATACCCGATAACGAACGAGCGCAATCGTACGGCTAGTGTGCATATTANTTGAACAAAATTTTTTAATACTGTTTTAACAATATTGGTTTAAAATTAATACGTATTTTAAATATAGTACATTATTATGGATGTTAGAAAACAACAAAATTAAAAACAAACATATTGTCATTTGTTGAGAGACACAAGTAAAAAAAGGTAAAGAATTTTAGTCTACAACTTGAAACGCTTCGTTTAGCGATGCAAGAGAAGAAGAAAATTGAAATTTCTAATTTCGCGAATGAAAGCGCATTCTATTCTCATAATAAAGTCTCTTTTTTCATGTCAAGGTTAAGGGCATAAAAATGCAGTGCACAAACTGTAAATTTGTCTTGAACGTGTGTGGAATACAAATATCGATTGCGATGTGTACTCTCTCAACACACTCGAGCGTACACATATTGAAATTGCATTTCGGTATATTGATGACGTGTTGTTTGTAGTGAAAAAAATCTCGGTAAAGCTCACGTGCAGTTTTCCAAACCAGAGTCATACTCGTTAAAATTATTAAATAGAAAGCGATTGTTCTTATGACAGCCACGTATAATATAACACCAGTTATGCAATTATGAAATTCATATTTCTGTAGTTTTAATTTCTATAGTTAAATTTTTTTATTAAGGCTTCAACTACTAAGGTCATTAGCTTGGTGCTGTGTGGGGGGAGGACGGTTGGTTGGAATACGTTTGTAATTTAAATATATTATAGAGGTTGTAAATAATTATATATAATATATAGGTGTTATTCACCTTTGCAAGTTCAAACAGCAAATTAGAAATGAAAATGTATATTAATTCAATACCTATTATACATGCCCTTGTAATAATTGTACTATTTTCGTAATATTTCTAAATAATATTATATTATAGTGACACAGAAAATATAAAGAAAAGAGAAAAAGAATATTAGCCTCGAAAAATGTATTTATTTATTTTTAAATTTAGGAAAGATTTTTTTAATAGTTTTGTAAAATATAGTGAAGCATTATAATGCTAGTCACAAAAACACCACCCATAAAGATGATGCCATTTTCCTAAATTGAGTGGAAGTACTTAAATAACATGTGACGATGTATCAATAAAATGAAATGTACTAATATTATGTATCGTAATCAAGCTATTTTATCACGTGTGGTTTTGCAGAGTGGCGTTTGGGACTGGTCATATGCAAACTCGTGCCGTACTTCCAAGGAGTGTCCGTGAACGCTTCGATAAACACGTTGATGGCCATCTCCGTGGAAAGATGCTTGTCCATTTGCTACCCCATGAGCCCAGTGGGTAAAGGCGTCTGTAAGCGGGTCGTGGCCATCATATGGATCATCTCGCTCACTATCACTATGCCGTGGGCAATTTACTTCGATCTGCAGCCTATGGAGGAAGGCAGCGACAATCAGGTTACATTTGAATAAACTTTTTTTGTTTTCAAGTGGGTATACATACTTGGTTTTTATTTATTTTAAAGCATACGCCATTATAGCGGAAATAAAAGAACAAGTGACGATTTCACTATCTATCGGACTCTAGTATAGAAAAATTTAAAATAATGTGTTACTCTCTTATCTTATTGAAAGTAAAAATAATACCGTGATATACTTTTTGAAACAATTATTTCTTATAAAGAGTTCGCTTTGGCCGTCGTCGGTATTATCATCAAAATATTAAACTATTTTTGGATTTGCAAATATTATTCACCTGCTATGTATCTAATATGAACAATATATTATATATATATGTATTTATTCTTCATCATATCTACGTATTAATATAGTTTAGATGTTTTATATTATTTCATTAATATGACACATATTTCATAAACTTTCAGTGTAGTAATATTGCACTGCTAGAGCGTGTTGCTATTAAAATCTTAATACGTACAATCATGACTGACGACTGTTATACGCGGTATCACATATTTACTGGTACATTAATATTTTTAAATATTATAACGTAATTTATACATACCCTGCAGTGGTGCATCCAGGATCTCTTTTGTACTGACCGGTACAGCTACTGTTATACATCTCGCTCTGTGCTTTGCGTTAATAATCTCACCGACACATTTCTACAGCCTTACGTAATGCCTTTATTTGTTATTGTTTATATCACACCTAATAAATATATTTCGCTGGGAAGTAAATACTTTAACTTAAGGAATGGGTAGGTATGAACACTTATAACACAGAGTACATAAGCTGACACTTTAATATAATTATTGTTTTTCACCCAAAAAAATTATCCACTTGTATGTAAATAAACGAAAACGGACAATTCATTAAATAAAAAAAGCTTACAAAATAATAAAAATCCAAATAATTATGAAAATAAATTTTAAAAAAAAACCTAAAACTAGTTGAGTTTACTCAGAGCGTGAATCAAATTGTACAATCTACGCGATGAGAATAAAAATCTTAAAACGTTTTATAAATTGGACATAAACAAATAAACTGTCCGTATTATTAAAGACGTACTTTCTATTAATTTCCTTCCAATTTTTTTTTCTTCGTAAAATATATTGACCATTTTTAAAAATTTAGTTCGGCTGAGAAACTTTTTCGAATTCAGTGATTTATTATTACTTTCAAATCAAGACACCTTTTCTGGTAGGACCATCTGACTACCGCAGTATCAGCACTTTTAGAATATATATTTATAGCTTAAAAACAAAATCACCAGTTTCAGACTACAGTCATTTTCAGAATATGGTTTATGATGTATTATGATTAAATTCGAATACAATAGAATTATTTCATCCCGTTTGTTATTATTCACCATAAATTAATATAAATTGTCTTGAGCAATGTTTGTAATACATTAATACTAGAGTAATCACTCTAAACACGTGTATTTAAAAAATTAGAAATATTTTTTATTGTAATAAAATAAATCTCAATAACTATATAATTATATTACATTTTTTGGTAATTTTGTTGATGCATTTAGGTTGTTAAATTTTTTTCTTAAGACACTACTGCATACAATTACTATACCACTAAACAATATTTAGATTATTGAACTTAAGTTTCAGCACGTACACAACGGTTATAATTAATCGACATAATTACACTTTAAGATGAATTAAATCAAAATTCGTTTAATGTTTTCAAGTGATTCGAGTTACTCTGTGAGTTATTTGTAATGTGCACAAATATTACAGATATTTGCACAGATTTAATGAGAAATTTATCAATATTCAAGAGCCGCATTGTTTTGCGTCAATTTGCATAACCTCCAAGAATCAGTGAAAAAGTAATTAAGTCGAGTAACCGTTTGCGGTCGATATTATATAGAAAGTACATGTATAAATAATAATTTATAGTTAAAAAAATACGATATTTACTGCGGCTTAAAAGTGCCGATAGTAATGATTGTAGTTCAGAAGCAAAAATATATTTCCGCTATTAAAAATAGGTCATAATATAATAATAATACGGCCAAGAGAATAAATAATAAAACGTTCTTAATTACGTATATTTTACGTACGATTTTCGTGGATTGCGTGTTTCACGTTCGACGTTCGTGTTTCTGGCCACTGCCGACTTTCAAATAATATGAATCACAAGATGATTTATAACATTTTCATTACTTTCTGTAATAATTACCAAAAATTACGATTCAATTATACGCACCTTAATTTTGATTTTCGTAACTTCTATAGACCCGCTGTACAAAATATATGCATTATGAAATTAATTTTTAAAAAAGTTATACGTTTCATCATATTTTACATTTGAACAATATTGTGTAGTTTAATATAATAAAGTAATGTCACAATACATAATATTATTATCTTATAATATTCTTACAAGCTTAAAAAATATTAAAAATCAACAGTTTCAAATAATTTATTATTTTATATTCCCTCTAGATCTATATTTTATTATAGACCATATTGTTATTATTTGCATGCATATGGCAAGATTTTTTCATGCTCTAATTAAAAACCAATATTTGTTATAACTATTGTTTTTTATATACAATTTCACATATTAAATAATACAGTGTACATAATCTTGGAATAAATTTATATTTAGATTAACCCTAATTTGAAGTATAATTTTACTATGGGCAGAATATCTACAACATAAGCGGTTGAATACAAGACTTTCAGTAAAGTGTGTTATATTAAATTTTCATAATATTATTACAAATTGTTTTATGTAATACGCTATATCATTTATTATGCAAACTTTAATAATATCTACAATTGAATAGCCATTAGCTCTAAACTATGTTACTTTCTTCGATCCCATTATATAAATAATTTAACTTCTGCTTATATAGCCTTACTTTGTTATACATTAGATATATTATTAATTTAATGAACTTTGCGTGACAATCGTTTTTATATTATTCGGATCGATGATAGTATGTATATTTGATATATTAAAACATTGGCCATTGCCTTCAGATGCAGAATAATATAAAATTATGCCACTTTAAAATGCCAATTAAACCAAATTCAAATGTTCAATACGTGATACAAAAAATTCACGATCAAATTTAAACACTATCGATTTTAACATATAAATCAAAGTTTTAAAAATAATTGTTTATTTAGTATTCTTTAACACAACTAGTTGATCTTAAGAAGTTAACTTAAGTAAAAAGCTTGAAAACTTTATGCAAGGTTGATAAGATGCTTAAATTAAGGATACCTGAACTCGATTATATTTTATATTTGTTTTAAGTTCAAATTTTGCAAATTATTTTTTAGTTAGAAGTGTATAAGATTTTTTTCACAATTGATATTAGGCATTTTAATAAATGATTCACCGTAAGCTTTTCTACTTAAATTTACTGTGATATAACATTAATTTTTGATGAGCATTTGAATTTAAAATTAAAAAAAAACGGGTAAAATTACATACTTTGGTACTTATGTATGTAATACTGAGACAACATGACGTGAATCCTCTTAACCATAATATATTGAACTGTAGTTTGACTCTGAAAACTTGCTAAAACTTAACTAACTTTGAAGATAGAGTATTTTTTAACATTTTTTGCACCACCTCGCATCTTCCTCCTCCGATAATAATAATAATAGCACTGTGGTATAATAATAATATTAACGTGCTTGGATTTTTGCAGATTTGCCTGGAATCGTGGCCGACCGTGGAAAGCGGCAACCTGTACTTCGTGCTGGCAAACCTGTTGCTGTGCTACGTGCTGCCGCTGACGGTGATCGCCGTGTGCTACATGTTCATCTGGCAGAAGGTGAGCAGGCGCAAGGTGCCCGGTGAGCCGATGCACAACGGCGCCAACATGGTGCAGCGGTCCAAGATGAAGGTGATCACCATGATCATGTACGTGGTGGTGCTGTTCGCGGTGTCGTGGCTACCACTGTACGTGGCGTTCTCGCTGATCAAGTTCTGGCCGCTACCGCCGATTGTGGAGAGCTATACGGTCGCCTCGTTGCCGGTCGCGCAGTGGCTGGGCGCCGCCAATTCGTCCATCAACCCGCTGCTTTACGCCATCTTTAACCACCGGTTCCGGGACGGTTACCGGGCCTTGTTGTCAGGCAAAATTTGCCAAGCGTTCGACTACAGCAACTCGGTGAGGTACCTGCGCGGTGGCCGAGCCGGCACCACTGCTGCGTTTAAGCGCAATAACAACAACAACAACAACAACAACGATAACGGCCGTTGCGACCGCAACCGCAAGACCATTGGCGCCATATACGTGCACGCCGCGCGGTCTCAGCTCCAGCAGCATACGGCTCAGCAGCGGCGACCCGTTCAGCAGCGACCCGTTCAGCAGCGACTTGCTCAGCAGCAGCAGCAGCAGCAGCAACAGCAGCAGCAGCGTTTCACCACTCAGCAGCTGCAGCCACCCACCCACCGACTCGTCAAGTCGTCGTCGGTCAGAGAGACGCACGTCGCCGAAGGGTCTGCCGGTTCCGTGGTGCAGTTCTGTCTGACGAAATGCGAAAATTCGTTTGTGTGACCTCCGACACCCACAATACCCGCACACCCGCATGCAGCCGCCGGACTGTATACGCCGCAGATAATGTGTACATACATAGGACTCGTAGACTGTACAATTTATAACCTATATAATTATACTATTTTGTGTATATAATATTATAGTAATGTGTTATTCTGGACCATAGACGTGCGCAAACTTGAGGATAAAAAGTTCTCCTGAATAAGTGGTCATACAAATATATAATATAACCTATATTATTGTTAATAATATGCTTGGTATTCAAAAAATTAAAATGATAGGTTCTTCAACATTTTTTTTATATCCAAAAATAAAATCATATTTTTCTTAAGAAGTGTTTATTGAAAAGTATGTATAATTTGATACATTTCGTCATATTATAATTAAGCTTTGTACATCAATCGTACTTGAATATAATTTTGTTTTTGAAATGAGTTAAGTGGGACCCTGGCCATATGCCCATAAACAAAATTGTATTTTGCTAACCCACAAGGTATGCAAATGCATGCCCTGCATACCCCTTGCGCACACCTACGTCGTAGATTAAGGTACGGGTTAAGGTAATTTTTTGTTTCTCAAACATACGGAACCGTCACGCCATCGCTGTCGAACACACACGCGCTAAATAAATATTTGATCATCGCGTGGTACTTAAATGGAGTGATAGAATCAGTGATAGAACTGGTAAAATATCAAACGTTGGATACAAAAGTTCAAAAAAAATGTACGCATAAATGAATATTTAAATCACTTATTGATTACGATATAATCAGAAAGGGTGCGCATAAACATTATCTTAAAATAAGAGGGATTTAAAGCTCTGACTGAAATACAATGATAATAATATTGTGATAACAAAACACTCGTCGGACGCACAAAATGTATATATATTATTTTCGTGAAATGAAAATCAAACGGATACCTATAGGATGACCGGTGATTATGAGGGACATTACAACTTAGAGCTCTTTCTGGTAAACAACAAGCAAGTTCGCCGGAACTCTTAACCGCTCTCGTCAAGCCCGTTAAACCCGTTAACCCGTTTAAAGTTATTTAGCATCTCACCCAGGCCTTGGTTGCACTACACCTATGAATATCGACCTGCGAAATTTTATAGGAATTCCATGGACAGTCAGTAATTCGAATAAAATAAAATTAATAATGTAATAATATTATGTACTGCCATTTGAGACATAACATATTTCTCTTAAAGTAGAAAGATTACAATCATGAATACAGCCGGTATCCGAATGTACGTAGGTGTATTTGTTTTTCGCAATATATTTTAAGGGAGACAAAAAGTGATTGTTGGAATAGTTTTGATTTTCTCGTTCGCATCGTATATCATAAGTATGTTATGCGTCATATTTTATTATATTCACATACTTATGAGAATGTTGTACTCGATCTATTGTATGCGTTTACAAATTTCATCAGATTAGGAATTCCTTCGGAAACGGCTGCGACGTTTGCCCGTATTAATATTTTATAATATTATTATACACAAAATACAGCGGCACGCGATCGTCATGAATTAGAATTTGAACAGACATTCCAATCACTAATAATTTTGACACGTGAGATCTCGACCAAATCTGAATAAATTTCAAGTTAAACGTCTCCCAAATCGTACTGCTGAAGTCTACCTATATATACATATACAAAATTTTAAATTATAATATGCTTTCTTTAAGGTGCTAGCAGCTATGATTTATCATGATTGCTTTTAATTTCTATCACACAAGTACCTAGTTATTTTTATACAAATATTATACCAATCGTTTGTCATTATTAAATTCTGTATTATATGACGTGTTTGATGTGACGCTGTCAAACAATAGAAATGTAATTGTCGAATTAATCTAACTACTGTAAAATAAAAAAATAAAAATTGTTGAACTTCGAACCCAAACTTAAGTGATTAATTTAGCTTAAAATTCTTATTGTTTAAAAAACTTTTGTCGTTTTTGAAAATATGTACTACACAATTTTATGTTATTGAAAACCACAATCCCATACCTATTATTTTATACAAAATTATTTTTTCGCAATTTTTTTATTCTAACCAGTGTATGTATATATTCTATTTTTTTTAAACGGTAACATGCATTTTTAATACTTTCTTCCATATCAGAATATTTGTTGGAGTACCTATTTTAATATATTATAATCGAATTTTAGACGAGTACTTTATGGGTTGAATATATTTAAAGTTTAAAATTTAAATATACGATGACTTAAAAAATACAAAAAACATCTTGTTGAAGACAATTAGATACATTTTATTAAAAATCAATGGCGTAAAGACAAAATGATTCTATCTAGACGAAATACTTCGAATTTGAAAGACCAGGCATTTTAAGTACCCATCTATTATTGACAATTCCAAAATTCTAATAGCCATGATTCACTAAGAAATAATAAGATCACAGCTCATCGCAGTGAACAGGTGCTACTATGAATTTATATCATTATTCATATCAAGATAATTTTCATAATAATTAAAGACAGCATTATATAACGTTGTAATCAAACTAGTAGCTCTGTGTGCATGTGTACATGGGCTACAGAGAAATCAGACGAAAAAGAGTTAGAAGTGTTTGAAGGAAAGATATTAAGGGCAAATTTCATTACCGAATAGAAGTAACGATCTCCTTTATAATGAACCTTGCATTGTTAGAACTTCGAAAAGTACGAAAATGAGTTGGGCCGGCGTGTATGGAGATTATAAGGATTAATTGGACAAATAATAAAATGGATACCAAACACAAAGAACCTCAGAAACATAGACAAATTTGGATAGATATAGTACCTAAAAAATGCTCTTAATGTATTGCACGTAAAGAATGCAGAATAAACTGCAAATAAAAAGTGAAGAGTGGAGAAAGTATATTGTTATGGCAATGGAAACTGAAAGGCCTGTAAAAAATCAAAAAAGAAGAAACAGGAGATTTTATGATTACAAGATGAATGGAATGGTCAGTTTTATCCCGAACGATTTTGGTGATCAACTCCTTTTATCTTAACTTTAAATGCGTATTACTAATACTAATCTACTTGTCTGAAATTAGTTTTATAGATCCAAATACTTTGATCAAATTAAAAATGTCCGTGGTAATTGAAAAGAATTAAAACTTAAAGAAATATAATATTGTAAAATATTATTTGTTTTTCCCAAAAATGTTATTTGTAATGACTTCAAATTCGTAATAATTTAAAAGATATATTTTTCGAAACATAACAGTAGGTATCTTACGTTAAATGGATTAACCCGTACCTACTTACATATGTTAATGACGATAGTGACGACGGCGTCTATGACAAATTGAATAATACAGAAGGAGAACACTTTATATAGGTCTAATAATATTGTAATTGTATGATAATATGATTGTATGTATAATATGTTTATCTTGGAACAGAAACACGACTTTATACTAAATATTTTTTAATGTTATTGCGTCCAATAAATAATAATTTATAAAAATGTGAAATGTGACGATCGATTTAAAAACCCGAGCTGCTATGCAGTCACTTAGACCATAAATATTATATCGAATACCGATACATATTAGTATATTTAAATATATATATTTATATACGATATCATTAAAAAATGTAACCCACTGCCTTCGTAGTGTTTATTTATTGTTACGTAATAATGTACTACAATATGTTGTCATTATTTATTAGTATTATTTCGTTTTATGTCATGAGTAATAATTATAATATATTATAAATGAATCAAATATGTATAAAAACTATAAGTTCCCGCTCAAATGTACATCCATGTGTAATAATAAGCTGAAAACGAACAGCTTCAAGATCTCATTGTGAACGTGTATAATGACTCACAATAATAATAATAGTAATAACTATAATAATAATACTAACAACAATAAGTATTTCAAGTTGTAAACTTATAATAAATTATAGGTATTTAATACACGCCGATCAAGTATTATTATAATATCATAGAGTTTTTATCTGCACGGGCGTTTCGCCATCGCTGCAGTGGTACGTCATAATAATATTATTATTTTTGTAATAGTTATTGTTTTTACATGCATTGTTTTTAGGCTTTATTGTTTTATATAATTATTATTATTATTATTATTGACAACGAAAAACTTGTTATTCGTATCCGAGTGCTATTAAAATCGTAGTTATAATCAACACGACAAAAGCGTAAATCGTAATAATAATAAGATTAAATATTAGTGTACGATGTATTCAACTATTACAATATCACGTGATTATGAAATAATAGACATCAATATTAGACAATAATAATAAATAATAATGGAAATAAAGTGCATTGTTAATATTTTATTTTATATGTAATAAATAAATTATATTATATTTAGTTGGACCGCTTGTATACGCGAGACGCCGCCTGCAGAAGCACAATATATTTTATATAATATATTTAATACATACTATAATAGGTAATACATCATTATTGTGTGCATATATAATATGGTAGATATCAATAATATTATAATAAATATATATTTTATATAATATATTGTAATACACAAGCGTGAGTACTACTACACATGTGTATACTTTATTATAATACTTTTAATGGCTAAGAATATTATAGTATTGATAGTGTCGTCAACCGGACTTAAAAACACCCATTATTATTATTAGTTCCTGGATTTACATTCTCAATTCTATTAAAAGCGAAAATATCAAAAAATGTTCTAAATAATTAGATTCATAGTGCCCCCAAAACATGTATCTAATAACGTTTTTAAAAATTAAAATATTTTTTTAATATATTTTACTACAGAAAATCAATTTAATACATAGCTACTTACTTCCATACATAGTTCCAAAATTCTAAGATTAGGTACAAAATGTTGATGAAAAAGTGGGTAATAAATCAGCGTTGTTTTTTTATCAGTGTCATAATCTTTATTATTCACTGGAAAAAATACAAAACTATAAATATAAGATTTGGTTGAATTCTGTGTTCAACTTTAATCATTGTACACCAATAATTCAACTATTATGAGCATTCTATTAAACCTAGCAGAATGTCTCAATAATCGAGAAATTTAGATGTAACCTTATCTTTCACTAAACTTCCCAATAAAGTATGTATGTACTAAAAATTAAGAAATCATTTAAAATAAAAGTTTCACCTTAGTGTTTTTGTTACATGAATCAAACTATGTACAGGGAGCGCATTTTCTTAGAGTACACCTGAAAATTAACTTTATATTGAAATCAGGACGCTAATTATTATTATTGTTATTATTATTGCTATAAATACGGGTACGAAATGTTATTT